GCAACACTAAAAGCTACACATAAACAGCCTTTTTGATTAGCTGCAAGTGCAGGCAGATGGTGGAAAAGAAGATCCCCTGGATATCAACAGAATAATATTTCTAGTGATCCTTCTTTGTTCTGTAGATCCCTGTCTTCAGTGTTTTGCACGTCGTAGAATCATCTACTTAAAAAGCAGTTTCATTCAAATTACTAAGGAACTAGTGGACCTGTTCTTCTAAATTAGTGCTCTTTTTTTTTTTTACTGCTGCTTGGAGTCAGTGAAATATGTTTCTGCACCCTGAGGGGAGACATGTTTATTGAAAGGAAACTTCACTACACTGTTAAAAAAATATTTCCCATTTTTGGGCCAGGGAGATAGCTCAGAAGTCTAAATGCCTGCCTTGCAAGTGCAAGGACCCGGGTTCAATCCCCAGAACCACATGCTGTGCCAGCCGCTCCCCAGGCTGGCCACTGAAACTGGATGTGGTGGCACACACCTGTAATCCCAGCACTGGGAAGGCTGAGACAGGAGGATCACTATGAGTGTGAGCTGCATAGTGAGACCCTGTACCAAATACATAAATTTTAAAAATATATATATTTTCCATTTTTACTTTAGTGCTCCAGGTAGGGTCTGGGTATTTAGATAGTACACAGAACATGCTTTTGTGTAGATTTTACTTTGTCTATGGGAAAATCTTTTTCTAACTCCTCACACCTGCCTTCCTACAAATATAAAACGTACATGCTCAAAGGGTTCCCCCAGTTCTCTAGCACTGGGAGGGCACGTAGTGTACTTCGTTTCTCAAAGCACTCCAGAATCTGGACCTCTAAACTGCCAGCCACCTTGTGGGGCACTTAGATTTTGAAAAAACAATGTTTCAAATATTTTTTCATAACATTTTATGACAGAGCTAGCCTGTGCTGCCCACATCCAATTTTATTTTGGGAGGCATGTGGAATCTAGGGCCTTCCCTGTGTTAGGCAAATGCTGTACCACAGAACCACACCCACAACAACTCCAATTTTTTAATTAATTAGTTTTTAATTGTTCCTGCACTGATAGCACAGCACTCCCTAAACCAGTGTCAGTGAACCTTGGAGAGCCTTCAGTGATAGCAGCATGCTGCAGCACACGTGCCATACGCCCACTTCCGCTGCCCTAAAAGACGCAGCCAATTGGAGAAAGATAAAGATTAAACTAAAGGGGCCTTTTGCCTTCTGCCCTTTTCCTCTTCCTGCCAGTTTTGGCAGATATGAGCTGACAGGCAGCGGGAACCACTGAGACACCTTTGTGTCAGCTTCTTCAAGTACCAAACCTGAAATCCAAAAGCAGTGGAAATTCTAAATGCATTTGCCAAGTTTAAAAAAAAAAAATCATTGGAAAAGTCAACCTCTCCATCCATGTTATCTGGAGCATAGAAAAGCCCTTTTATATCATGAGAATAATTGAAGAAAGGGAAAAATTGTGGGCAAATCTTTTGCTCAACTCTTGAACTAGTTTCTGTTGTAAAATAAAGAAGGTAAGAAGCTCAGATTAAGAAAAAAAAACAGAACTCAGTTGTTTTTTATTATGATTTGTTTGACTTGTTAAATTAGAGCAAAACTATTAGGGTTGGGGCAAAGAGAGAAGTTATACCAATAAGTGTGAATTTTTTAAGTAAAATGGATGAGACCTTTGGGTTGGAGAACATTTCAATATACGCCAGTATGGATCACCACTGCTGAGAGTGAGATGCTGAGTGAGTGACATCTTGTTACTCCGCAGTAGCTTTGGGCCCACAAGTGACAAACACAAATGAAGTGCGCCTTGAACAGAATCATAAAGTGTCCTAGTGTCATCAGGAGGGTATGCTGGAGTGGCCTCAAGAACAATTCTAGGAAACTTATGGTGTCTGAGCTCAATCTATGCTGTGGCAGAGTGCAGTACATTCCCGTAGCTAATCAAGCAATCCTAGGCTCCTTTAGAAAAAGGAATTTTGTCTGAAGTCTCATTGCTAGACTATTGCTGGCATAAAAATAGAATTAAGTAGCACGAGTTCCAACTTTTCCTTAAAGATTACCTTTTCTTCGTACCTTCCTAAGTGTCGGGTCCTTGGTAACTTCTAACATACCCAGTTGTTTAATGATCAGACCTCTTCCTTATCTTTCTAGTCTCAGGGACACTTAGATTAGGAAGGGCATTCAAAAGAGAATATTGTTTTTTAATCTTTGCTTACTTTTGGTGCAAGCATACTCTTCCTAAGAGTTTAGTACAGGGACTGGGGAGATAGCTCTGTAGAATAAGCACTTGCCTGCCAAGCCCAAGGACCTGAGTTCAATCCCAAGTTTCTCCTAAAAAAATCAAATAGAAAATAATAATAAAATAAAAGTTTAGTACAAGCTCAGACTTGTGCCATAGTATCTTCATGAAAGTGAGTTATTAGTAAAGGTGACAGAATTATATATATATATATATATGAAGTTATTATATGTAATAACATTACATATATAGTTATATATAATAACTTTATGTATACAATTGTATATAATAACTTTATATATTGTCCTCGGGATTGAACTCAGGACCTTATGCTTGCCAAGCAGGGTCTTATGCCACTGAATTATCTCCTGGCCTTAAAACTATAAATTTATTGAGGTTACTTCTTCATTGACCCAGTATCCAAGCATTGATGAGGCTAGGTTCCAGGATGATTTCAATGAGTCACTTGTACAGCAATGGTAGTAGTGTTCTGAGCTCTGATTTGGGAGACATACTGCCTATGTTCAGACCGGGTAACTTGACATCTAACCATGGCCTTGTTCACATCTATAAGCAGGAAAAGTTGCAGGCCCCACCTTGTCTCTTATTGGGAGGGTAACCTGGTTTAATATAAGAGCACAGCAAGGCGTTCACCACTTAGCAATCTCAGTAAGTGTTGTCTGCAGTGAATGCTGTAATTGAGTTCCTAGGGACTCAGCAACATTCAGATTATAATGGAATGTTAAACTGTACACATTCTCTGGGATATTTGTTAATTGCAGCTGGTAAATGAGTTGGACTTCAAGGAACATGTGCAAAATTTTAGCTACTGACAGTAAACTACTTCTTTTGATCTTTTATAGGCTAACTGGAAAAACTCTCACACACAGAAATATGGGAACAGAGTGAAAGAGACAGAGATGGGAGAAATAAACATTTTTAATGACACAGTCCAGAAATAACAGCTTACCAAAAACTTAATACAAAAGTAGATGCTTTGTTGCTGAGATTATGAACTGATCTTATTTATAAGAAGATAGCTTAAAGATTGGGAGGGGTTGCAACAAGGTAGCCTCTAATAACTTTCTCATTGCTGAGACCCAGTACCCTACATAAAAAAGTTAAGTGAGGAAAGGTTTATTTTGGCCCATGTTTTGTAGAGGTTTCAACACACTGTCAGCTGGCTTGAAGGCAAGGAGCATGGCAGAGGAGAAACAGGCCATGCATGGCCAGCAGAAAGCAACTTGCTTTCCTTCTTTCTCTTTTTATTCCCTCCAGGCTTCAAGCCTATTGGTTGGAGTCACCAGCACCTAGAGTAGGTCTTCCCTCTGTAGTAAGTCCATCATCCACATGAAAAACTCTGCTAAACCAATCAATGGACTGGTCCAGCATCACACAGCCACGATTGAGGCACTCCTCAAAGCCCCACCTAGGAACTAGTTTCAGACAAGGGAGGCTCTCAATGCAAGCCATAATGGTGTGTATGCAGTTTCCCCCTTTCTCCTTGGCAGAGTAGTTCCATTCAGGGAAGAGAAAAAAAATGCTTTCTTTCCAAAACTTGCAGCAATCTGTAAATAGTGTTTTTCCCAAAAGGGAAAAAAAATAGTTTACTATGATTTCATCCAAAGTGCACACTCTAGGATGTCAAAATGGAATATTTATTGCTGTAAGAGGACTGCTTTATCTGCAGAAAGATGCACTGCTTTTTAACATAAAGTCAGAGCCATTTCTTGAAATTGGCTGACAAAGAGAGATAACAAGTTCCTTCTAGTCCTCAAGCAGCTGCCCCACATCCCATAATCTTCCTTTCCTACCAGGTCTCAAATTCCTACTAGAGGGGAAAATCTTATATTTAGAAAATCCAGTGACTTGTTTAAAACATCTCATATTCACCTGAGAGAGGAGTGTGTGTTCCACTTCTGTTAGCACACTGTACAGCTCTATATGGCCAGCTAAGGCACTACCCCCTCTGTAAATTATTAAGACCAATCCCTGAAAGGTGATTTTCAATGAGTAAAATGAATCTGATCCAAGGATCTTCAAGAGCTGCTGTAATGATCAAAGGAAGATTGTTGCTTTGATAAGAGGGAGATTAAGTGGGCTCCATGCACAATGACTTGGCTTAGGTGGAGGATGACATAGTGGCTGCCCAGTTTGGTCAAGGATGAAAATAATTCAGGAAGATATATGCAAGAGGTGAGTTACCTCCCTCTTGGCTTTTATCTCTTCCATCTCTTATCTCACTCCACACAGATTTATTCAGAAAGGTATGGAAAAGCAAAGAAGAATTGGGAATAGCAGGTGTCAAGTATATTAACATTGTAGCCTTTGCTACATTGTGTGTTTCCATCCTATTAGAATGCTGGTCAGCAGTTGCACATGCAGCTTTATTGGAGGAATTTTGTATTAAATAAAGTTCAAGGAAAGAGGAAACAAGGAAATGAATCAGCAAAATATTATAGAGGCTGCCAAAGTGGCACTTTTTGCTTCATGTCTAGCTAATATGACCTGGGGTAAAACATTCCTAATTTATCCACTTCCAGATAATTACTAATTGGCTACTAGGTATAGTAAGTGACAAACTAAAAATAACAAGTATTTGCACCATTTTCTCGTCAGCTTTTAGTTTTGTTTTTTGAGTAGTAGGTATCAAACTTTGTAAAGAAAAAAATGTATCATGTTGAAGCTATTATTCTGTTTGATCTTGCTGCTACTTCAGTGATGGGGGTTGTTGGGCAGGTCCCACCCACCTATTTATTGTAACATTTCTTTTCTAGAGCCAGAATAGGACAGACTCATATACCATTCTGATCTGGGTGCATTTCTTCCGAAGGTATGCTGACCTTATGGGAAATCACAACTGCCTGGGCTGGGGGCTCACAGGCCAGGGAGAAATTTACCACATGCACTTGAACAAAAGACCTCTTGATGAAGTTAAGGAGCTATGACAGACAAAGAATATGCATATACCGCAGCCTCTCTCTGACCTTGATTTTGCATGTCAGTAGAATTTTTGACTTGAGATTCTGCATAAAATCTTAAGCTGATTCATTTAAAAGAAGCCAATGGGAACATCAGAGTGAAGGCAAAACCACAGGTATCAAGGTAACTTTCTTTCTCCTCAAACTTTAAATTTAAAATTATTTGGCTTATTTGACTATAATTTTATTTTCCTGCATCAGAGTTTGAACCTACGGTCCCATACAATGATGGTAACCGTTGTGGAGATGAATGTCCGAATTGCAACCCAAAACCCACTTATGTATTGCACAGTACCACCACTGCGATGCAACCTGAATACTGAGATTTTAGTTTAAAAAACAACAACTCACCTATTGAAATCTTTTGTCTTAAAAGAAAGACAATACACATGCCATAGGTTGGCCACCACTGGTCTTGTGTAGGCTAGACAAGTGCTCCGAGACTGGGCCACTACTCCAGCGCACACAATGGAATATCATATAGGTCTTAGAAACACGGTGTGACCACAGTAATTAACCGCTGCCCTTGTTCTACAACTCTTTCATTCCTGCTGTTTCTCAGGAACAGCCACCCTCACATAATCTGTACTTGTTATGAGGGTAGCTCTTGCTCACTGGCATGTCAGAAGGCACAGAGAATCCACATGCTTCCCATAAACGCTTTGAAGCTCCGCCACACTGCCTCTGCTGAGTTTTGCTTGGCTCTCTACCTGCCCGGGGAAGCTGCTTGACCTGGAAAGGACAGTGACAGCCCTGCTACCTCAGGACATCACTTCTTGTTGCTTCCCGACTCCAGCTCTTGGCTCTCTCTGTTCTGAAATCACACAGAGCACATATTGTCTGGATTTCGCTCCACTTTTGCTCATCTGAACTGAATAAGCAGAAATGTACTCAAATCTTCCTTCCTTTAAAAGCTAATTGAATTAGTCCTCTAACCTTCTCAAGTCAATTTGGTTCAATCTTCAGATTGTCAAAAAGAGAACTCTAGAGATGATATTTTAACCACTTTGATTTTCTAGCTCTGCTGTAAAGAATTTCAACAAACTGGTGGCTTAAAAGTAAAGAAACATACTGTGTCACAATTCTGAAGTTTGGAAGTGTGAAATCAAGTTGTTGACAGGACAAACATACCCCTGAGGTCATTAGGGAAGAAGCTATGCCCTTTTCAAGGTGATAGTGCTCAGCACTGCTAGACCTTCCTTGACTGACGACAGTCAGTCTCTTTCACCACATAATATCTTCCTTCCTTTGTGTCTCTATCTCACTCTCCCTATGTAAGGATACTGTTCTCCCTGGATTTAGAGCCCACCTTACCACAGCACAATTTCAATTAACTTGACTGCATCTACAGAGATCATGTTTCAAGTATGGCCATTTTTATAAGTACTATGGTTTAGGACTTTGAACAGATCATTACAGTGGACACAACTCATGCCACAAGTCACTATGCAACATCAAATCATTTTCAAATAGGAAGAAGTTCTACAGCATATATTGCAAGCTCAAAGCACATCCTTCACTTCCTAGACTCAGTACTTACCCTTTTCCACATCTATAGAACTGACCTACTCTCCAAGGACCAAGGAAGGGTGTGACCAAATTTCTCCCTGTTAGAACTGTCCAGTCTAGAGCTGGCTGTTTCTGAATGAGTCCAGCACCCAGAGGACTACATATGTCTCACTCTCAGCAGGCATTCTGATCCCCCTAACATGGTGCAAGCACTTGAAGGATATCTCTATGACCATCTACACAAGTACACAACTTACCCCTTCCTGAGTACTATGGATTTCCTTGCAATGTATCACTCTTTCTTTGACATTTCTTCTGTCTTAGGTGGATGCCTTTCTACACACACACATTTTGAGATTATCTTTCAAAGGGACAAGATTTTTCTGAACCCAAGGTTCCCCTTCATTGTGGTGCCTTTGAAGAGTTATAGAATGCCCTGAGCTTGTTCATTCTCACCCAAACTATTTCGAAGATCACCAGGCTCCACGGAGTTTTTCATTTTCTGCTGATATATTACTGCCAAAAAGAAAAGTTCTAGGGCTGGCCAAATAGCTCAGGGGATTAAAGCACCTGCTTAAGCAGATGCAGGGGCTGGGAGTTCAATCCCCAGGACTGCCCTGCCAGCTCCACCCTCAGGGTGCGCTGAGGCAGTGATTGAGACTGGGTATGGTGGTGCACACCCGTAATCCCAGCACTTAGGAGGCTGTCAACAGGAGGATCACTATGAATCCAATCTATGCAGTGAAACCCTGTACACACTATACATCCTATGCTAAATATTAAAAAAAGAAAGAAAAATTTAACTTCCACAATTATAAGTAAAGTTTTGTGTACATAATTTTCAAAAGAGATCAAATATCATGTCACAGATCATGGAATTTATTCTATATGACATATTATAATAATAATAATAATATAAAATAATAAGTGGGATATTAGGCCTTTACCTACATACTGATTA